GAGGTTACTGACTCGTACAAACAGAAGGACTCGCATCACAGCAATTCTAAAAGCTCATTGGCTCCCAGTCTCTCTTTTCAGTTCCAATTTAAAATCCTGGTTCTGACCTTCAGGGTCTTCCAAGGTCAGCCTCCCTCCTACATTACAGACTTGAGTCATTATTTTATCCTTTATTCCTTTGATCCAACTTTATAGAATGATTATGTTTGTTATTTTTAGCTGTTATGTTTTTTATTTTCTGTTCAGCACTTTGGTCAGCTGTGGTTGCTTTTTTAAGTGCTTAAATAAAATTGGATTGGACAAACAATGGCAACAGGTTTCCCTTCACATTAAGAGCATCAAAACATGAAACTGCTGAAATAACAGATGGAGGTGGAGTAAAGATGGCGGTTATGATGACGGGACAAATGATTAGTAAAATAAACAGCAAACATTTAAATAAGGAAACTTTACAGATGGTATTTCTGTTATTTAAACAAGATAGTTTATTTTATTTTATTTGAAGTTAAAATCGCTCATTACAGGGAGCTCAACCTTTTGGCCAAAACTTAACAAAATAAAAGCTTCAGACAGAAACCCTCCAAATAAACCGAGGACATTTATTTCACCAAGTTTATAAAACTCCTTCAATTAAACATTTTAGAAATGTTAAAAAAAAAAAAAAAAAAAGATAAAACAATCAAAAAGCAGGAAATAGGGTGACACACGCTGTGATCATATGATGTTTAGATCAATAAAACTTATTGAAAGATCAGGGTCAGCAGAAAGGTTTGGGAACATGTGGCTCTAAATCATTTAAACAGCAAATTCAGTTCAATCTATTATTTTAATCTAGAATTTATTAGATTAAATCATCCGCTCCTGAACACGCTGTTTTTACGACTGCAGATTTAAACTAAAAAGAAATCAACCAAATAATTTTTAACAAAGTTTGTCGTTTACTTAAAGGGACGCCGTGTAACTTTTAGCCACTAGAGGCGCTAGACCTGTAACTGCCTGTTTTCTGCTTCTGCTACACATAGAAAATAATAAAAACATCTGACTGTAAACTAGGAGCAAAGTGTTAACTTACCAGTTTAATAAAGTTGAGGAAAGGGTTCTTCTTTCATTCTGCACCAACGAA